GAGCAGTTAAGATAAAAGGTCTTGGTTAAGAGAAGCTTTTCTCCTGGAAAAGATAATCTGCCTTCAAAGTTATAAGTTAAACAATTGAGTGGTCTAATTGGTTGAACATTTACAACTTACTTATACTTGAACTTGTGCCAAACTATGTGAAAAACATTTATATTCCACTTCCCCAAACTTCTTCTCCCCTTTTTTTTATTTTTTTTTTTTTTTTTTTTTTTGGGGGGGGGGGGGTGTATGCATGTATGAGCTGAACCTTTGGGAACTCCTTTCAGCTGATGCATCACTGAGGTGGTTAAACACATTACATTATGGCAGTCGGTCACATCAGTATTTCACACTGGAATACCGGACTTGACATATCACTGGAAAAGGAAGTGAAATGATCCACAATCTGAAGTTTCTTGAAACTTGAGATTCTGAAGACAGGATTTTCACCTATGTAACTCAACCTGCGGGGGGCAGGGGGGATAGTGCCATGAGGGTCCTGCTTGTGAGTGGAAAACAGTCAATACTCTGTAAATACCCCTACTTATTTTGGTGAACCTCTCTAAAGCAGTTATGGAAGGGCAATATGTGACAGAATATGACTCTCCAGCAGACAAAATGCAATGCATTGCCATATTTTTATACAATAATGCCATGAATATAAGGCATCCTAAAGCTTTCACTAGCACATGAACTCTTACCTGAATCCTTGACATTGATGGAAATTTAGCCTATGAATAGTCTTGAGATTTCCTATTTCTTTCAACAGCCATGTGATCTAATACTCAGATGAGGGAAGACCTGCAGTAGTTTTAGGGGTGTATCTTGTATTTTCAAAGGAAGAACTGCAAGTCCATTGAAATACAAAGCTTAACTTCTAGAGCTGTGCAGAATATGAACCTTACCTACCTCTTTTCACCTAGTAACCTGCCACATAGACCAAACAAGTCCACTGAACATACACAACATTGAACATAATCACCTTCAACTCTAACCAGAGTATATCTTTCTGGTGATTTCATCATAAAAAAAAAAAAAAAAGAAGTCTTGATTATGAATAAACATCTTTCAATATTTTAGTGCAAAAGGGTTAGGAATAGGACCTGGAAATTCTAGTTTTCTAGCTTTAATCAGCATACAATAATGTGGATGAGTAATTAATATGGAAATAAGAGTAAAGACAGATTCCCACAGTTTGGAGGAAAAAGACTGCCTAGACAATATCTACTGCTTGACTTTATATGTAAGCCCCAGTTATTTGGTGTTTGTCTGTAGCAATGGAGGATATGCAATATATTAAGTCCATCAATAAAAAGACAACATTTGTAACCCTTAATAATATCAGAGAATGTTTGGAAATGTGACACATTAGCTTTTATTATATGCATTACATGTATGCAGGCCAGGTTGTATGGGGCTCTTAGCAATCTGGTCTAGTCAAAAGTGTTGCTGCCCATGGCAGGGGTTGTAGAACCAGATGAACTTTAAGGTCCCTTCCAACCAAAACCATTCTATGATTTTATTATTTTATTTTCATTTACAGCTCTTTTTTTTTTTTTTTTTTTTACTGAACTAATGATTTTTAAGCACTTTGGGGTTAACCGTAGCCTTTATTGAAATTTCTAGAATTATTTAAATCTTAAATATTCAGTGGATTATAGAGAATATCTGTTTCTTGAATACCCCATGGCATCCTAGATACAAAGCTCATGCAAGTTCATTCTCTCCTTCCTTCCTTCCATCTCAGAATCATCTGCAAATGACTTTCCCTTGCCATTGATAGTTTTATTGTGCAATAGTCCTGCTTCTTACAATGTCCCCCTCAGCTCTCCCAAGTTTGTACTTTGCATTCAAGGTCTCACAGGGTTCTCTAAGATTTACACAGCTGTGGCAAACAATTTCAAAATTAGCCACCTGACCTTCCCCAAAATGCTCAAAGAGCTCAAATTCCTTATTGCAGACATAAGAATCAAACACATTTGAAGGCCCTAGGGCCACATTTTTTTTTTAGCTACCAGGCATAAAACCTCCTCCCTCTACTCTTTCAGAGGACTCCATTTCACCAGTGCCTTTTTATCTGCTCTCTGAATTCTACCCCATCTTCCATCTGCACAAAGAACTTACCTCTACCAGAGGGGCAATAAATGACCACTGAGGAAAGAGTGGCCCCATTTATCCAGCAGCAAAGGAGGTGCTAAATTAAAACCAAGTTCACAGCTGAGAGTTAGTCTCAGACTTCGCTATGGGCAGAATACCAACTACAATCTTTTATGAACTCCCATGAAGTTGCAGATACCTCTTGAATCCTAACTTCAGTCTAATTTCTAAGCCACAATAGGATAAGGCCTGAACTTTTATTAGGCTTTCTGTTTTGATTTATAATTAATTACTACAGTGAATAACTTCATTACAGGACTTGATGATCTTAAGGGTTTTTTCAATCTAAATGATTCTATGATTATATCCTACCTCATCTCAGGATTCATTCTGCACAAATGATATTCCTGGGGGAAAAATACTTTTTCCACAGAAATTTACATTCAAGATAGATGTTGAGCTGAAGCGCAGAAAGACAAACACTCTTGGAGTGCACCAGGGAGCAGCTCTAGGGATGTTCTGAGTACATACCTCTCCCTAGAAGAGGAGAGACTGGCAGGTGCTTGGTATAAATCCTTGTAGCTTAGACATGTTCCACATAAGCTAAAATACAGAAAATTCATACACTGGGGCTTCATCCCTTAATGGGGATTCAGTCCTTGTCCAACGCTCATTGGCTCTGTAAAATAGCACTGGTTTCTTTGCCAAATTGCCTTATAAGGCCACAGCAGGGTCTGGATTTACCCATTACCACAGGGTTTAATGACCTTAAGCACAACACTGAATTACACCTCCAGTTGCTATTTCCATCTGATTAAGCACTGAAAAATGTAGAAGGCTGGGTACATATATACAACACTGGTGAATGTACTAACACATTGAGCCATAGCATGCAGTATTTAATCCTCATTCAATACAACTCATGATTATTTACTAAGACATTCAGAAAGAGATGTGTTACCACAAAACTACAGAACTAAAAAAGCTGTTCTGCTTAAAAATAGAAAAATTGAAGTACTTAGCAATAAACTTTTAGGAAACCTATCACTGAAGTGATCTCATGAAGCCACTACTCCTACTAACCATGCCAAAGGCTCACTAGGGTCATGATTGTGCAAATAACTACTCAGGAATGGGAGAAATGGGTTCAAAGCTTCACTCTTTGCCATAACCTAAAGCAAAATATATGCAAACTTCACAGAGTTCAATTTGCAAAATAATTGGCCATTTTACCATCATGGCATAACTGGCTGCAGTTCATCCAGATGTTCATCAGCTACTCTAGAAGTTAATCTAAACTGGGCATCATAGTCATTAAGAAATTCAGTCAAAGTGAAGGGTAGGTTATGGATCTAGAACAATACTACCATTTTTAAATTACTATAATAGAGCTTTGAGTTATAATAAGAACCAGAGCTAAAAGCTGAATGCCAGCTTTTCTTTGTTTTGTTTTAAGCTTTCATGTTGACCTCTGCTCTACACAAACTTAAATCTGTTTTACATCAGAAGCTGCAGGGACAGGAGAGTACATGGGAAAAGAACATGTCTGGGAGTTTACAGAGGACCAGCTAAAGTTTTTGAGCTCCAGTGGGATTGGTGAAATAACTAAAAAGCAACAAACAGCAGGTGAGAGGAAGGATTTAAATATAAATAAGGGCACTTTGAAGGCATAGGTTTTTATTGATCACATTCACATTTATAAATCAAAGTCCTCATTTTTAGAAAAAATATGTAACTAAGAAAGAATCCAAAAGCCATAAAATACCAAGCAGCAAAAGAAAAGATATTAGAGAAGAGTTAATGCATGGAATCATGTTGATAAATATTCCCCAGCCTAAAAAAATCAACTAAATACCCTATTTTCTTTAATTAAAAATCACTGAATTATTCAAGGATATCTGACTGAATTAAATATTGAAGACACATCAAGATCTGCCTAGTGGTGTGATTAGGGGTTTATATAGTTATTAAGCTCTGCCCAGTTGAACCTGAATTTAGCCTCCAATTAAAAAAGTTATTAGAAATTCAGTCCCAACAACTCTGCAGATACAAACTCTATGCTTTAAATGGTTAAATATTCTAATTCACACAATTCATCCATTAGCAAAAGACCAAAGCTTATTTTCTTTTTTCAGCTGTCAATGGATATAAAGAAACTATGAGCATTTAAATGGTACTGTTTAACAGACAGCATCTGCCATCCTACTAAAGGTGCTGTTCATGCTCTATCCACAGGATCAGAGTTCAAATAGCAGCACATTCAATCTGGAAAAAAGTGGTGGTTACAATAGTATAGTAATAACAGTTACAGATAACAATCTGAAAAGCTGAAACCAGTGAAACATGATGGTTTGCAGTTAGCAAATATTTGTGTGCTTTACCAGAATGTAACCCATTACACTGCCGACTGGGAGAAATAAAAATCCAGTGGGAAGACATGAAATAAGATCAGGGCTCTCTCAAATGAAAAGAAATCCAGTCTTGCTGAACTGAAATGTGATCATTTGGATGACATTTCTATCAGCTCATTTGTTTAAAACTCAATTTAATGCTGTGTTAGAAACTTTACCTTAGCAAATGCTAATGCATAACATGCAACTCAGCTCACAGGAGCAGGCCCATTAGCAGGACTGAACAAACCTTCCTGTATCACAGTATCACAGTATCACAGTATGCTAGAGATTGGAAGGGACCTCAAAAGATCATCTAGTCCAATCCCCCTGCCGGAGCAGGAACACCTAGATAATGTTACAATGGACAAACCACAATTAGGCATTGAGAATGGAGGCACAGATTCACTTCATCAGCTTTAGGCAGATAGCTAAGGCTATAAGGGCTGTAAAAAACCCTTTTTAAAAAAAAAACAAAAAACCCCCAAAACCTTTTTTTTTTTTAAAGAAAAGATTAAAAGAGAAATCTTACGAGTTTGTGCAAGACATGCATTCAAGCCCAGTTGTCCTTGACAATTACCAAGAGTGGATGCTTAGGAAATAATGCAAGAAAGGAGCAAACATTTAGTGATTTTTACCCAGAAAACCCTGCCAGCCTCCAAAAATTTGCACTTCACAGGCTTCCTATTAGCAGTCCTTGCTGGATTTCTTTTCTGTGGACTTCTCCAGATGCTCACTGAGCCCCATAAAGGATAAATGCCCACAGCACACAGGCTCATGGCAGGTAATCCTCAGTTACACGCTGTGTGCAGAACCACCATGGTCTCCTCTGAGGCTGTGAATGTTGCCTTCATTTAATGTCCACACTTCTGGTATCTGAAAAAATAGTGGGCACTTCTTTATCTCCATGGCAGTCATGATCTTCTAATCCTTTTTCATATCTTCTCTGCATTACCATTTTGACAGGCTGAAGAATATGGCCTGTGTAGATGTTCCTTCTGTAAAGGGCACCAAGTCAGGACTCCAGATGTCCATGGCTGTTTTTTCACCATGGAGGGTGTTCACATATCTTCACCTGTTTAAGGTGTTTTAAGATCCATCTTGTATGAGCTGAATCATTCTGCAAATATTTCTGTTTTTTCCTAGAAGAAAGAGAGTCCTGATGACTGTTCTAATCTAAAACCTAATTTGGATTCCAAGCTGGTGTTTTGAAGGAGACAGAGTTAGATCAAATTTTACTAAATTTATCAGGTGCAGATCTGAGTGTTTCTGTTTAGTGAGGAGAAATTCATGCTATTAATAGTTGCTATTTGACAGTGGGTTTCTTTCCATTACATGCAATGAGAAAACAGAGCCAGTTCATTATGAAGATAGTGAAAGTTATAATAAGGTCAATATAGTCTGAATTGTACAAGTGCATGTGGGGAATATAATGTATGAAAATGCAACATCAAAGAAAGGTGAGCAGGGAATGGAGAGCAGAGAAACATGTAATGAGAAAAGTCAGACTGAAGTCTAATTGGTTAAGCACTTGGGAAATGCTATCCTACAGCAGAAGTAGAAAACGGATTGAAAGGAATGGGACCCAGTCAATCTGTAACCACATTATAAGGACCAGAATAATTCCCCCCATTTCTCAGGTGAAGAAGCTGAGTGCCTGCCTCACCTGGAACAGCTTGCTGTGATCTGGACCAGACCTGACCAGTTCTTTGCCCAGAAGCCTCTTCTAAATATTTTTCATATTAACTCCGGGGCTAGAGAGAACTTAATAATCTGTCAGTGGGAAATTATTAGCTCTCTTAATGGCAAAGGCATAGAGTGGGGTTTGTGGCCCAGTATAAGTTCTTGCTGGTTTTGCAATCTTAAGTAAGTCAGTTAATCAATGGTGCTCTGATGATTTATTAACATCATGCTGCCAATGAGAACTCATGCTGAAATTTAAGATGGATCAAACTTAATTTTAAAATACTGAAGTGAATATCACACCTTTCAAGGACTTATAGAACTGATGCATAGCTATCATATATTAACACAGAAAGGAAATACATCTGAATAGTAAGGAATGTATCTCTTTCACCAGTTCAAAGTTCTGCCAACAGCACTAATAGCAAACTTTGTTTTCTCATGTTTTCTTGCAATTCTACAAAAATGGCTTGATGTCCCAATGTCATAAGTAAATCCTATGTTGTGTACTAAGTACATTTGATTTTCAAAAAGAGGAAAAAAACCCTAAATACAATTTCACTTGCATACGAATACATCTCTTTCACATTTCAATGAAAACAATCCAAATAGCATGAAGTCCTCTTTAAAAAAAAAAGTATTGTTAAAACAGCTGAAACAAAACAATACAAAATGTATTTTTCTTTTCTCATGCCACACTCCCCTAGTTAGTATCATTATTTCTAAGATTTGATTAATGATTTATGCCTAATTTAGGGTGAATATCTATCTAGTACAGTGTTACTTAGCCATTGTCTGCTACACCAAGAGAGGCTGCTGTTCTCCTTTCCCTTTATATATACATACATACTGTATATACACTGCAGGGGAAATTGGTCCACAGACAATTACCAGGCACTAAAAACCATATGGGAGACCAAGCAGAGCTTATATTAAGAGGATTTGATTACTTGCACTGCTGTCAACCTTAGCACATTTTTACATGCTAGATCCGCACCTCCTCAGGGTCGCTCTCAAACCATTCTCTGCTTAACCTGTAGCTGTGCTTTGGAATTTCCCAAACCAGGTGCAGGTCCTTGCACTTGGCCTTGTTGAGCTTCATGAAGTTTGTAGTGGCCCATCTCTCAAAGTCCCCTCTGGATGGCATCCCTTCCCTCCAGCATGTTGATAGTACCACACAGCGGCTGTTGCTGGCAAACTTGCTGAGGGTGCACTCAATCCCACTGTTGCAGACAAAGATGTTAAATAGTGCCAGTCCTAATACTGACTCCTGAGGAGCACCACTCATCACTGATCTCTATGTGGACATCAAGCTGCTGACCACAACAATTTCAGAGTGACCACCCAGCCAATCCCTTATCTGCAGAGTGGCCCATCAATCAAGCCCATGCCCCTCCAGTTTAGACACAAGAATGTTGTGTGGCACAGTGTCAAATGCTTTGCACTAGTCCAGGCAGATGATATCAGTCACTCTTCCCTTTCCTACCAACACTGTAACCTCATCACAGAAGGCCATCAAATTTGTCAAGCACAATTTACCATTAGTGAGCAACAGCAATCACCCCCTTATTTTCTATGTGCCTTTGCACAGTTTTCAAGAGGATCTGCTACATGATCTTGCTGGGCACTAAGGTGAGACTGACAGGTCTATAGTTTCCCAGCTCTTCCATTTTATCCTTTTTAAAAATGGGGTTTATGTTTCCCCTTTTACAGTCATTGGGAACCTCACCATAGAGACATGACTTCTCAAGTATCATGAATAGTGGCTTGGCCACTTCATCTGCCAGTTCCCTCAGACCTGTAGATGTATTTCATCAGGTCCCATGGACTTGTGCACCTTCAGGTTCCTTAGGTGGTTCCTTGGATTTTGATTTTTTTTCTTTTTGACTTTGGACTCTCTGCTGTTTAACCCCACAGACTGAGTTCTATTTCTAGCTGGAGTGTGTCAGAGGTAGTCTTAGAGCACATGTTCTGTTTCACTTTTATCCAAAATGAATTCCAGTTCATGTACTCAAGGCAGTTCCTCAACATGAACAAAAGCGTAAACAGAGAAGATGGTCACAAGATTTGCTTTAGAAATCTGCTCCTGATCCAAGCTAAAATGCAAAGGCAGACTCAGGCTTCTCAATGTCAGCTGGGCAGTGCCTGATTTAAAGCTCTGTGGAGCCAGCAGTAAAGTGAGGAGATGGGACATTTTCAAAAGCTCCAGCAGAGCCAGGTTTTGCACCACCAGGAGCTATTGTTGGGTTGCCAGGTCTCCTTGGCTGTTTCTGCACAGATATGCTCTGCAGCTCTTTGGTTTGTATTCTGGCTGAAAAAATACAAAAGTTGTTTCATACCACACATCATATTGTGCACTAAAGCTATCCACATGACAGGCAGTCTTCCAGATATAACAATAATTATTGGGTGATGCCAACAATTTGTACTTACTGGGTGTGTGCTGAGCCCAGACACAACACGGTCTGCTAAACAAAAAGAAAAGTCTCCAGCTCTGCTATGCTCCATCAGCTTTCCTAACTGCTTGAAGAACTTAGTTCTGGGTACTTTGCTAATACCTTTACATGAAAAGACAATGTACTCTTCAGCTCCCTGATGCACATATTAGCTGCTATTCACATATCGCACAATGTGAAACTGCATGCACACCTCAGACATCAGGGAGATTTCCATGTTTTCAGGATACAGAATTCTATGAAGGCAGTAACATTCAGACTTCCCAAGTCAGCTTCGACAGATTTTCACGCCTGCATAATCAAAATAAACATTAAGCTACTGTTTGTCATCAGACTTACTCTAACTGTGGTGCAACCAGGATAATTCCTTCACTGTTGCTTTGAACGAATAGACAAGGAGAAAAGAAATTTAAAGATAGAGAAAAAGAGAGGTCAAATCACGCCAAGAAAACTCTAGAAAAATTTCAGGAAGAATCTGGGGTTTATAGAAAGGTTTTGAGGCAGTAGATTACTTTGTTTAGATTGTTTTGGTTTAAGGGATTGTCGATTGTGCTCCTGCTGAGGATTTTGGGCCCAGCTAATTTTTAAGTCTAATGTAGACCACAAGAACTCTGACCCTGAGCACTGCTGAAATATCCCAGAATTCCCAAGGTCTGTAACTTGGTTTTGAGTGAACTGAGAGGTCTGCATGTAGATTCAAGTCTTTTAATGTGGAGATCCATTCCAAAGCAGGTTAAGGTACCTACTTGCTATGTAGACATAGCTGTTAAGGCTTTTTAGAAAAAAAAAATCAAAGAATACAGAGTGCCATTTAAAAGTTGAAGAGGATTTAGTGCCAAATCTCTAGCCCCTTATGCAACCAATTGCTACTTTGTACATCATAAAATACAGCAGACCAGTTCAAGCTGATCTTGCAGGCACTATAACTTGTACTTCAAATCTACCTAAATATAAAAGGTAATAAATTATGGTGTGTGATCCTAGCTTTTTAACTGGCATTCCAAGTCCACTTGCTTTTCTAATGCATTTTGGAAAAGATAAATCCTCAACACTTAAGCTGTACCTAAGCTTCTTGCTCCTTTATATTATTTCCTATCAATAAAAATATAAATGCTTGTGGTCATGCAATTTGATCTTTGAGTACATGGTACTATAAATCTAGTCATGATCCATTTCCCTTGAAAATAAATATAACCCTTTCTTTTAAGATGCAGGACAAAAAGATTCTTTATTAAGGACATAAATTCCTAATAATCTGAATAGCCACTTAGCACCAAAAGACATGGCTCCTGGGCATAGGTATTCACTAGATATATATTCTCTATGCCAAGCAGAAAGCAAGCTCTTAGAAAGTAAATTTTTCATGGAAACATAGAATTATAGAATGTTTTGGGTTGGAAAGAACCTTTAAATATCACCTAGCTCCAAACCCCCCTGCCATGGGCAGGGACACCTTCCACTATACCAGGTTGCTCAAAGCCCCATCCAACCTGGCCTTAAACACTTCCAGGAATGGGGCATCCACAGCTTCTCTGGGCAACCTGTTCCAGTGTCTCACCACCCTCACAATAAAGACCTTCTTCCTAATGTCTAATCTAAATCTGTTTTCTTTCAATGAAAATGATTCCCCCTTGTCCTATCAAACTACATGCCCTTATAAAAAGTCCCTCACCAGCTTCCTTGTAGGCTCTCCTTAGGTCCTGGAAAGCTGCAGTCTCCCCTGAGCTTTCTCCTCTCCAGGCTGAACAAGACCAACTCTCTCAGCGTGTCTTCATAGGAGAAGTGCTCCATCCCCCTAATCGTCTTTGTGGCCCTCCTCTGGACTCGCTCCAACAGGTCCATGTCCTTCTTTTGTTGGGGCCCCCAAAGCTGAATGCAGTAATCCAGGTGGGATCTCACCAGAGTAGAATAGAGGGGGAGAATCCCCTCCCTCGTCTTGCTGAATATACTCCTTTTGATACCATCCAGGACAGGGTTGGCTTTCTGGTCTGCAAGAGCACATAGCTGGGTCATGGTAAGCTTCTTGTCAAGCAACACCCCCAAGTCCTCCTCCTCAGGGTTGCTCTCAATCCATTCTCTGCTTAACCTGTAGCTGTGCTTGAGATTGCCCTAGCCCAGGTGCAGGTCCTTGCACCTGGCTTTGTTGAACTTCATGAGGTTTTTAGTGGCCCACCTCTCAAGCATGTCAAGGTCCCCTCTGGATGGCATCCCTTCCCTTCAGCGTATCAACCAAGCCACACAGTTTGGTGTTATCTGCAAACTAGCTGAGGGTGCACTCAATCCCACTGTCCATGCCAACGACAAAGATATTAAACAGTGCCAGTCCTAATACTGACTCCTGAGGGGCACCACTCATCACTGATCTCTATTTGGACATCAAGCTGTTGACCACAACAATTTCAGAGTGACCACCCAGCCAGTTCCTCATCCACTAAGTGGCCCATCGATCCAGGCCGTGCCATTTCAGCTTAGACACAAGGATGTTGCGTGGGACAGTGTCAAATGTTTGTCCACTAGTCCAGGTAGATGACACCAGTTACTTTTCACTTATACACCAATGTCTTGGCCCCTTATTTTAGAAGGACACCAAATTTGTCAGGCACGATTTGCCATTAGTGAAGCCATGATGGGTGTCACCAATCACCCCCTTATTTTCTATGTGCCTTCACGTAGCTTTCAAGAGGATCTGCTCCATGATCTTGCTCGGCATCAAGGTGAGAATGACTGCTCTGTAGTTCCCTGGCTCTTCCACTTTTCCCTTTTTAAAAATATTTTCCCTTTTCCAGTCAGCAAGAACTGCACCATATTGCTACTTCTCAAATATGATAGATAATGGCTTGGCCACTACATCTGCCAATTCCCTCATGACCCACAGATGCATCTTGGCAGAACAGACAAGACAGAATTTCTGCGGACAGAACTGTACTATTGTCAGCCAAGAGCACCACAGCAGCATCAGCTTTTGCCTTGTGTTTATTTCAGGCAAATTTGCCCTCTGTACATCTTTCCTCATATTTCATGAAATTTCTCTTCTTCTTCCTGTAGCTCTTCTTGTCCTCTGCATTTTCCTTTTCTATCATGCTGACATCAAATCTCCAATTATCACGTGCCAATGTCTCTGCTACCTTGTAAATCACTCCCCCTTTAGTTCACTTTCTTACTCTCTTCATAGTGCAGTCTTCTCACTCAGGATGCCCAAGGCTTTATCCAAGGCTGTCTATCTCCAAGGCTGCAGATTTCCTAGATATGCCTCAGGAAAGGTCTCTGGTCCCTTAGCACTTCTTATTTATTTATTTATTTATTTATTTATTTATGTACCATAGAACATGGCTGTGACAATATCAGTATATATACTATAGAGTCACCACATCACAGGAAATTCCTGAAGGTGAACCAGAACCTACATTAAAACGAATAAGCTCTTTGACTTCAGACATTGACACTTGCCTGCCACTGTAGACATGATGTTCAGAGTGTTTAATATGTCAAACATATTGCTGCCTAAGCACTCTTACACAGAGATATTTACTTGCCAAGCACAGAGATGTTTAATGTGAAAGTAAGTAAAAGAAAAATTATGAATGAAAAAGATAAGATTTTTTTTTATGAACAGGATCAAATAGATCCTACATAAAGGAATGTCTGTATTCTGTGTCAATTACTTGCTCTAGTTTGAATTTACACCCTCTGCTTTGCAACTGAAACTATTCTTTCCCTTTAACTGAAGTTGCCAAAATATAGTCTTCATCAACATTGATTCAACACATCACCATCTAAACCAAAGTGATAAAGCTGGTATTTATATCTATCAAGAGACTGATTACAGATGATGGCAATGACCATCTCAAAAGGTATAATTCTCTGTCACAGTGTATATCAGTATTTTTCTTAATTATTTCTGACATTTTATCTATTACTCCAAGGACTTTCTCTGAGGGCGGAAATAAAGGGGAAAAATGGGTTTTGTGCCACAGATGAAGAAATACATCTTCTGTAAGTAATTCCCAGAAGAAATCTTGAAAATCTTATGGGGTCAGGAAAGAGGTAAGAAAGTAACATTTGTCACCCTTGCTGAATTGGTCATCTAAACTTACAGCAGCACTAAAGCCGGGTGACTTATCTGCCGTCCCTTAGGGAGGAAGAAAAGTGAGGATGAAGTACAGTGGGGGAAGGAGCATTGGGAAAGTGTGATCTAGAAAGCTGCCTAAAGATTTTGATCTTCGAGCTACTTATCTCCCATTTCCCCACAGCTGATGTCATAGAATCATAGAATAGTTAGGGTTGGAAAGGACCTTAAGATCATCTAGTTCCACCCCCCCTGCCATGGCCATACACTTCTGTTATTAGAAATCATACATAGCAGAAATGAAGAACCATACAGCTGATGTTATGTCAAGAATAATAGTTCACCAAGTTTAGGACCAGTAAATACCATCTGAGAGTGGCTGGGAGAAAAATTTTCCAACTGAAGAACTATACAGATTTAATAAGAGTGGCCACTGATCAACATCTATGGAGAATACTAAGGCAGAATGAGTGACAGGCAGTCCACAAAACCAAAAGATGCCTTGAAAAAGCACATAAAAAGGCTTGTTACAAGTCACCGCTTTTGACATGAGTTTGATGCAGAGTGGACAACTGGGTAATGAAGAGCAGCTCGTCATATAGCCCTAGAGAAATTTCAAGCACAGTTGGCTGCTCAGCTTAATGACACCATTATTAAAATCAAGATAAGTAAAACAGGCTACAGCAGACATGAGTTTCCTGTTCTTATCTTAAAAACCTGCAAACACTGCAGCTGCCCCAGAGCAATACACAAAGAACTCATCATCTGGTTTCCAGCCTTGGAGCTAGTTTCTGTACAAATAGTCTTCTCTCACCTTCTGAATCCTCCAGCAACCCGTGCAATGACCTACCAGCATGAATATGGTGAGCAAAACGAGTTTCGCATCAATATTAGACCTGTTTGATCTTGCATTACGCAGATACAAATCATGCTAACAGCACTCCATGGAAGCTCATATGTACAGAAATCCATTGGTAGGTATAACAGCATTTATAACATGGGTTACTTAGGACATAGCAAGAACATGCAAAGTCTGTATTTAACAGAATGAAATGTGCCTTTCAGATATTCACCAGTCAGGTGGTTTGTCCTTAATCTATGCTCAATGAGAAATGAAAATGCCCTTTTTCCTCTGCTTCTGGTGTTGGCTACATGGTGGCCTGCCTTTAAGAAGGCATTTACTGCCTACCTCTGAGAGATAGAAGAGGAAGGGTGAGTGATTTTCATGCTCTGGCACTCATTGTAGGCTGCTTAATTTGTCAGGACTACTAGGCCATGGTTTTGTGCTTTGACAGGTTTTTGTTATTCCTGCTAATCCCATTTCTGTTGTGTAATGTGCGTGGCAGCATCTGGTGACAACAGAATAGAACACCTAATTGTGAATGAATACAGAGCGCCCTGTTCTGCCACATTGCCTGTTGCACTATTTTTGCATTTTTATGGCTGAGGGTGGGCTTCCAGGAGCTGCAAAGCAGACAGCCCATCGTTGTAATCAAATTTGCCATTTGCATGTGTGTGTTCTCAGCAGCCTTCGCATTTCTATGGCCCCCAGGATTCCCCAAGTTTGGCTTTCTGGCTCCTTCTTCTGAGTGGAGATGCTGATCTGTATCTATTAAACAACCTCCCTTTACTTTAGCTATTATGTTACAATGTGAAACTGATGAGTTTAAGTGCATTTGGTGTCATTAAAAGGAGCAGAATATGAAGAGGGCCAATGCAGTACCTGCACAACTGTTGCTGCCCTTGCCCATAGCATGGCTTCATTAACTTGCTGGACACAATGACTAGCAGCTGCTTGGAGACCTCCTCTCCTTCTGAGCATCTTTTTTCTGTTGCACTCCATTATGACTCAGACAGTGGGCCACTGACTCCAGATCTTATTCTACTTTGCCACTTGCCATGTACTAGGCACAGTGAGCAACCCTGCGAGGTGTGTGCTATGCTAAGTATTGCTCATGTAGACAAGCTTAACATCTCACATGAAAATGGGACAATGACCATGAAAGATCCAAACATGCAAGATTAGGATATTTATTTTTAAATAGTGGTCTTGTGGATTTTGAGGGGAAGGTGTTCATTTCATTGTCTTAAAAGTTCCTGAGAATAGATTACCGGTTTAATCAAGATTTATACAAATACTCTCCTGGTGGAATATGGATCAGATGGCTTCATGTGTGAACAACTTAAACTGGTTCCAGCGAATGTCAGTGTTACAACTTAATGCCTTCACTTATTATGAGAAGTGTTGGAAAACACTCTTTTGCAAGAATCTTCTTTCATTGCTGACAAGTGGTGTAACAATAGCTACCCAAAACACTGATGCATCAGAGCAGTATTGAATTTGACAAAGGGACCAAGGCTATTTTATCTATAAAGTATATTATTTTATAGAATGAAGATATTTTGAATAGACTCATAAGCCTTTCTGACAAGAGGACTTCACATATTTTCAGCTTGGATTCTTGTCTGCCACAAGCACTAGAGCACTGCAAAACAAGACCGACTAAATTCATTGCCCACATCAATCTTGTAGAAACTTTCAAAAGATTAATTAAAACAAAGCTCTAAAGGCCCAGAGATCTGAAGTATATGAATCAACATCAAAACCAAAAACTTTAAGGAGGGTGTCCAGAATTTTCAACTAAAATGCAAGCTTCAGTTTTCTCCTGGTAACACTTGGTGCAATTTTCCTCCCAGCAAACAGCACAACTCTTCTGTATTTACCACAACAATATGGAATCAAAACACAAAACCTGTTGGATGTAGTAACCAAAAAAAGATCTAAGACTGGTATAAAATTGAACAGATGACTCATACATTTTTCTAACTTCCCTATATTATAGGATCTTGAATATACTAAGTTTAAAAAAGGTGGTCAAATAATACAGTAAATATGAAAGCAGCTTCAGGACTGAAGCATGAAGCAGCATACAATCCACATATGAAACTAAGATCTTGTCTTATGCTTTCTCTTATCTGCTACAGTTCAATTCTAAACTGAGTTCTAAGGAAAAACAAGATAGTGTGAAAGCAAAAATATTTGTGTACTCTATGCATATAAAATAGACAACCAAGGGAGAAATTTTCCTCCTTATCAAAGACTTGTATTAGATGTATCCCTTTTCTAAGCATCTGTGGACAAGTTCCCCAGAAAAGATGCCTTTCATCAACTATGGGAGCTGTTATTCGTTATCATCATCTGTTTATAATCAATGAGAACAGTTGGATGCTCAGCACTCTTGAAAATTGAACCAATTATTTAGGTCAGTAGTTTTTAACCTTTTTCTATTTGTGGACTCTTAAGCATTTTCCAGTGGATGTGAGGTGCTGTTAGAAATTTTGCTCATGTAGATAGATGTCACTTTCTCTGGCACTTACAACAAACTGTCTAGAATTTATCCCTTCCCTTTCATCCCCTTATGAAAATGTCCTCAGACTCCAAGCTGAAACAACTCCAAACCACATTAGTCAAACATATACACTTTTGGGTAAATTAAAAAAAAAGAGGGCTACCCGAATCCAAGTGGTTTTAGGCACCTTGATAAACTATGCAGGTACAAGTTTCTCAATTTGAGTCTAAAAGTCTATGTTATTTTGATTACAATCCAGGAAAGGCGCAGTTCTGCTGACATCACTCTCTGCTGGAACAAGTAGTTGCTGCTCTGCCTTAGCCCAATTGTTTCTTCTTTGTCCCTGTCTGTCTTACACTGGCCTCCTCCATATGTCAGCATAAGTTTCTTTTTTGATCAATGACCTGTGTGCTGTGGGACTGAGAGATCAGGCAAGGACAAGCATCTTTAACTCAAAATTGCTACAAAAAAATACTTGAGTGGCACTGTACTCCAATAGCATTTTTTGTGCTTTCAATCCTCAAGAAAAAATTGAACACAGTTTTGAACAGAGAGGGAGGGAAACGAGCAATGAAAAGCAAGGGATGGGATGAACTTGCTAATCTGGTCATTACAGCACAAATTAAAATGTCTCAATTCCATCAATTCACAAGTGTGCCTTACAACCATCATAGGATGGACTGGGGCTGCCTTGGGAAGGGGGTCTGACTGAGGTCTGACCACAGCTATCTTCTGGAGTCCCATCACTGGTGATCAGCAGCAGCAGAGGCTGCTCCAGGCACTTGTGCCACTTGTGAAGATTGCTCTGCTCACATACAGCACTGCACCAAAAGACAGCTACTACAGCAAATCCAGCAATTTATGATGGTAGGATTTGTTTCTAAGACCTTAAAATATTTCTAATGTCATTTTACTATTTATTATAATTATTATAGTTACTGGGTTATACAGCAATTACATATATTGGATTGTATCTCCATTAGATTACTGTACTGCAGATATATTTTCATAGTCAGTGTGTGAAACACAACGGTTGCATTTAACAGAGCAGGCTCTTAAATTTCCAAAGCAGCTCAACCTCTGTTCTCAGTTTAGGCAACCAAGCAGACTACCTAGGTCAGCCCTGTGGAGGCTTTGGTAATGCTTAACACAAACTTTCAGGGAAATGCTCTGAACCAACAAACTGATTTCACATGTTGGAAGTCACCAAACAACTGACAAAATACTTAAAGTAACTGCTGAAAAGTTGCCTAAAATAAAAGGAGGGTGAGGAGGAAGAAAAACCCTTCCTGGTTTTAATGCAAGAAACCTTTAGGCCTGACTACTGTATTTAAATTACATCTATTTGCTTTTTACGTAGTTCGAATAGATGCTTTTTAATTATTGCTAATTGTTTAAGATATTGTTGTATGCCCCTGAAGATTTAAACTGAAAAAATTTAATTCCTTTAAAATCTCCTTCAGCTACAGGCAGTACAGTAAGAAGCCCCATAGGTATGGCAGTAAAAATAACCATAAAGGCATAAGCATTTAAATGAGGAGAGCATGGAATACTTCCCACTAGACTGAAAAAAAAAAAAAAAAAAAAAAAAGGGAGAGAGAGAGAAAGAAAAGAAAAGAAAGAAAAAAAAGCTATGTGTTTTGGAGACACAAGAACCAAACCATGAAACACACAGTTGAAACATTTAGGATGACTATGAAAAAGGTCTATGTTCACTTGTTAAGGAATGCGCTAAGGCAGACTAAAGCATATGAATGGCCCTTTCACAGGTCACAGATTCTATTCAGTTCTTGGACATTGTTATTATCCGACAGAAATAGATGGGCCTAATTAATATTCTGAACATACCTGAGAAAACATTCTTAAGGAAATCATCCTCTGGTGGTTTAGGTTTGTTGTGTTTTGGGGGGGTTGTTTTTTGGGGGGTTTCTTGGATGCTATGTGCTTTTTGGTTTTGTTTTTAACAAACAGCAGACACTATAAATAGTGTCTGGTTAATACACTATAAACATAAGTTTGGTGTTAAAAGTTTAATAAAGAGTCTACTTCTGAATATATTTGTTTATGCAAAGACTTGGATTTTTTTTTATTTTTTAATTTTAGTAAACAGTTTTGCCATGTAGATTAAAGCTGAAATGCACAGTCATTTTGCAAGCAATTATATTCTTGGCACTTTTCTGAACATAATATAACAATTACCACAGCAACTGCATTTTTATCAGAGCAGTCCAAGCATGCAGCAGGTTAATATCAGCGTTCAGCAACTTCAGATAATATTTCTAAGATGCTAATGTTTAGCCAATTTCAAATGAGTAAACAGCTTCTGATATGAACTGAGTTCTGGTCTTTTAAGATAATGTGGTTACAGAGACCCCAATCTTATATGTAGTGGGACTACTGCCCCTTAAAAAGCCTGTTAAATTTGATGGGAGTCTTTACAAGCAAATCCAAACGCAGGGCCAGCTTCATGGCAAGAAAGATGAACTCTGATTACAAAGTTAACTTTCCAAGGAGCGTAATGCATTGCATAACTGGGTTAGGGTCTCAACTCTGCCACTGCCTGGTACGGTGCGAGCCTTCCCCTTATACAGCTTGTCCATTTACACCGAAACCTTTAGAAAGCATGAGCTATTCACTGAGTGTCTGCTTGGTATTAACCATCACCCAAAACTGATGCTGTTATTAATCTAATCTACACTGGATTTTAAAGATATGCAGTTTCATATCAGTTATTTGACTCCCACTGCGCAATCTCAAAAGAAATAACCTCCTTTTTTGAGGTTTGGCTCTCCTCACTGCTGACCCTTGCAGGAGTTTTGCTGTTGACTTCACAGAGAGCAGAAGCAGGCCCAGAAAATGGATAATCTCCCAAAGTCATGTGAGCTGTATCACTGCATTTCGAATTCAGGACACCACTTCAATACAGGGACTTGTTCCCATCTTAAATGTCTGGAAGGCATACAAATATAGATAAAAGTAGATGACTAATTATCACATCTATTCTCAAGGCATGCATGGAGGGAGGCAGTAAAGAGGAGGGGAAGTTTGTGGGTTACTCCCACACATAAATCCTCTAAGTGTCAATGGGTGAATAGACACTACTTTAATCTATTGTGCAAAGCTGCTTTATAACAACAATAAGCTGAAACAGAGAAGAAACTATATTAGAAAGGCAAATATCAAAATATATCACTCCTAAAATGCCTGCAGGTAATCAAGTAATTCAGTCCTGTAGTACACCCAGAAACAGGAGTCAAGTGTTTTTGTACTCAAACCTTAACATGGTGTATGTGGGAAAAAGAAAAAAAAATCCCATTGAAATAAATAGGCCTATTCATTTCAGAGACAGTGAAAAAGAGACGAACTTTCTTTGTCTTGCCACTTTAGAGCCCCTTGATAGCATTTTCTTTTTTTATTGTCTTTTAGATATAGATGCCCCTCTGCTTAAGTATCACCAAAGCTACTAGTAACAAATACCTAAATATATAACAGATGCGTAAGTGCATCTTGGGATAAATACATTATGGACAATTAACTGTCATCATACCCCTCAATTACATTTTCACCCGCTCCTGTAGTGTACACCTGTGGCTTGTTAGTAATGCAATAAGTGTTGTAAAGCAACTCTAAGGTTCAAAGGTAGATCTGCAAAAATCTGTTTTCCTCTTTTCTTAAATGTGCATTACATGAATGTGAAAACCGAGAAACAAACACAAGAAACAAAGAACCATTTCTTTTACTGGCTGACATTGTTGATCAAGTGATTTTTTTTTTCTTTTTTGGCCTGATTCTGATTTCACCAATGTAGAAATTAACCCAGAGAAGCAGAACCAAAACTCACTTTAGCACGATTTGTAACATTATTTTAAATGCCACATTTCTCATCTGTGTGTGGATAATATAATAATCACATCCACTATTTGAGAAAATTGTAATGCACATCATTTTTAGTCAAAAGTAAAAGAACTTGTTAGAAGCACAACTGAAACCAATACATATCTAGGCTATAGTATAATTAAGTCTGCAGCTTTGCAAAATGGATGTTTGTATAAGTTAAAGTAGCTATTGGATATCCTTACTATAATCACACTTAAATCCATAATAGTTCCTGGAAGGATTATTTGTTATTAAATATGTGAGTGGCATAATTCAGTAAGCTCTGTATATGACATTGATGGAGTGCCTGTGAAGAAAAATATTAAACAAAAATATACTGTACAAATGGTCTTATAATTGTAGCTAGAGGCAAATCCAGCACAGAAATACCCCTCTTAGTTAATATCCCAGTGGCACTAACACATTGTGTTACTGCTATGTTTGTTTATGTATTAGTCTTATACTGTCAACATTAAGGTTTTTTTATTCCTATCATGCATTTTTACAACGTGAGTTACTACCTCCCTCTGCTAATACCTCTGGACTACTGCACTACTTGTTCAGGGAGGGAATCATGGACAGTCAGAGACATCATGAGCTTCAGGATGAACAATGGGGTGATCTTTGTAAAGGTGACTTTGACTGCTCTACTCACTTCCAGACATACAAGAAATCCTCCCAAAATCTCAGATGCTGGAGTCCAGATAACTCACTCCACCATGAGATTGGCTGAAGCACACAGGCTGTGACAGGCTGTGATACCCATCCCTGCCGGCTCCCCATGCTGCAGACTCCACCTTACACCCACTGCTGCCATCCCTCTGTATAGGGCACCTAGCAAGTCCTGTACCCAGCCATGGTCCACTGAGCAAAACTACTCTTACAGAATTACCCCATTGACCAGGAGAAGGAAATACCATAATTCTTTCTGGTTCAAAACTTTCTGCATAGACAGGACATAGCTGGTTATATACTTGTCCTGGGTTCAGCAGTAGCAGTCATTTTTCTCCTTCTTGGTAGCTGGTGCAGTGCAGTGTTTTGACTTTCAGCTCGGGAACAGAGCTGATAACAATGGTGTTTTGGTTTGGCCAAGGACTTTGTGAGCCTCATGCTCTGCCAGGGAGGAGGGGAAGCCAGGAGGAAGCAGAGACAGGACACCTGACCCAAACTGACCAAAGAGGTATTCCATACCACAGCACGTCATGCCCAGGATGTAACTGGAAGGGCTGGAAGACTGTGGGGTTGGAGGAGGTATGGGTCAGAGCTTGGTCGGGCTGGGGGGGCGAGTTATCGGTTGGCTGGTGGTGAGGTGATGTATTCTCTTCCCTTGTTATTTCCTTTATCATTATTATCATTGGTGGTAGCAGTAGTGATTTGTGTTATACCTTAGTTACTAAACTGTTCTTATCACAACCCGTGGGAGTTGCATTCTTTTAGATTCTCCTCTCCATCCCTCCAGGAGTAGGGGGAGGGAAAGAAGTTGGGGGGGAGTGACTGAACGAGTTACCTGACTGGGTTTAAACCACAATACTGATCCTAGACAAACCACGCTATTAGGACTTGATAGCTACGTTGTCACTGCTTTCTGTCTGGCCTTGTTACTGACGGGTTCAATTAGACAAATTAAGCTAATCTCACTCCTAGGGTGGGATTTCTCGTTGGCCTAGGCACAGTGAGATATTTACCTATTCACTAATAAATTTTAGAAGAAGCTCTGAGTACTTTTTTTTTTCCCTTTTACCTTTTGCCAAAAGAGAGTCTTCAATACTTCACACAGCTTTTCTCAGATCACTTACATATGTGAAAGTCAACAACTTAATCTGTATAATGAGTAGCGGTGCCAGCAGACACTTCCACAGGTTTTGGCAGCTTGGTTTAATTGTGGTTGTTCTTTGCTTGTCTTTTAAAAGCTCTGTGAAGTAAAGTTGAAGGACAAGACATGGAGATATTCACAGTTAACATTCAAGAGTGCCATTTTGTTCTATGACCCAAGTGACTTACCTGAGAGACACTGAGAGGCTGGAAGTTGGCCTGCACAATTAATGAAAAATATTACAGGTAAGAATCAAATATGCATAATTTGACTAACAGTAGCTCAGGGATTGCCAAATGGCAATATTTCAATGTGTTCAAACAGTCTGCTGAAGAACTGGGTTAGCTGACCAAATGATAACAGCGACTGGCCAGTCAGCATAAGCTGTGATGAGTTGTATCATTTTACTTTGCTAAATCCATGGTCTCCAAAGAGTTTAATCACAGTTGGATGACACAAAACCAAATACAAATTGCTTTGCTCAGAAGTAACTCTCAGCTAACTTGCCTTTTTATCACCCAAGTATCACAAGGAAGAACTTTAGTGGGTGGAAGAAAGAGCAAGAGAAGAAACCTAAACACAAATATTTGAAAACTGTTTAGCACTAAGTATGGGGAAAGTACTTAGCAGAAATAAGAAATGAAATAGTTGTTAAATTCATGAAAACCTTTCTGTTTCATGAATAGATTCATGAAAACCTTTATGTTTACAACATATGTGCTGTATGTAAATCCTCTGATATTTGTTGTTGCATGTCTAAAAAAAATAGAGAGGACCAAAGAGCAGAAAAATGCATTACAAGAAATAGCACTACAGGATCCAGAAGCTGGACTGGATGATCTAATAGGATGCTCTCATTTCTAGCAATTTTTCCTTGAAAGTGTTACCGCTTTTGCTAAAAAGCTGGCTCCATTAAAAAGAAAAAAAAAAAAAAAAGGTATTTTTCCTGCCTCATCTATTTTAAAAAATATTATTATTAGAAAAATTATCAAAAAGCTTCTAAAAGAAAAAAAATTATCTCTGCCTTCAGACATTGAACTACAGTATGTGAATTGCAGTTCTCTAGGATTCTAACTTCTTTAATGAAGAAAGAAACACCCTAATGTCTATTGTCTAAGCACTTGTATAGACTAGCTAGGGCAAAATTAGTATGAGTAGCATTTACATTGTTCTATAAATGGCCTGAGCAAAATCTCATAACAAATTTGCACTGTAGTTGGAACTCATCTGTTGTTTGCATTTCCTACTTTGCAGATGAGACAGTCTCAGAAGACAAGGTAGACTGAAGACTGGTTGGACAACTCTATAAGTGAAGTCTCAAGGCTCTTGTCATTCTAGCTGTCTAAATTACTTAAACAGGACTCAGAGGGATTTAAAGGGGAGAAACGACATGACAAACAATTATATTCTAACACACTATTTATAACAATGCCCTTTCAGATTATTGTTCCACTCAGACTGACACATTACTGTAATCCCAGGGATGAATCTAGGGATTTAGAGTTAGATCGTGCACAGCTTGTAGGCATAAAAAAAATACGAATAAAGAACTGACATTCAGGAAATATAGAGCGACTCAAGGATAAATTCTGCTGGGATGAGCTTAATTTATCAATGTCAATAACAACGGTGAACACATCGCAAGAATACATGCATATTAATTGAAAATAACTCAGATTAAATCACTGCAGTTTGACATTTTGAGATAGGCACTTTATCTTTTCAAGAAAGAGAGCACTATAAAATCTTTAATCTGAAAACACATCTTAATTGCATGTTATCACCTCCTAATTGCTTCTATATTATATTAAACATTTTGCTAATTACTAGCCTGATCATGGTGTAAATAGCTTGAGGCTAGAGCTCATAACCAGCTGAAGACAACTGGGCACAATGAGGGCCACAAAGAAGTTTATCACTTCGGTGTATTATCGCGGACTTCCATCATTATCAGTGTCTATCACTCTTTATCTCTGCTTCCCTTGTGAGATAAAGAAGAGAGGCAATAATGTAGATCAGAGGTTGGGTTGCATTTCAGTTAATCCATCTATTTCTAGCTCTAGATTTCTAATATTCCCTGGGGACAAAAGTTGTCTGCCTACTGCTGTCACTAATCTACTGCTTGAAGACTGAGGCCAGAATGCTATTTGCTCTACCACAAGGCTGGGTAATGGAGGTGCTCCTGGACAGCTGGAAGTGAATGCTGCCTCTGAAACCAAAGGATGTGGATGAAATGCGTTGCTGTGAGCAATCTACCCACTTACCTTCAGACCCTGAGTTATACACAGATGATACATAGGGAGAGTCTGAGGCAGCAGCTTATGAATTCATCAGGAAAGAAAATTATTTACGTATAGGCAATAAAAATGCTTGTAAAAAACTGTCAGATGACCAAGCAATGCAGGAAGTCATTCGGGTAGCAACTAATAATATAGGTACAGTAATCATTTAGACAATTACAGTTACCAGAAATGAGCAAACCAAACCAGCATTTTTAGGGTTTTTCTTTTTTTAAAGAAAAACAATTTTATGCAACATCACTTCCAGGAATTAATTGTGGGTTCTAAACTGCAATGTAAAACACAGCTTTATAAAACATGACTTGCATTTCCTGAAGAAAGGAAATAAAGGAATAAATCACAACACAGGTAAACCAGCTTTTCTCACTGTCCCATTGGCAGAACGTAAATTTAGCCAGGGCAAAGAGGAGGTGGCAATATCTTGTTTATGATATTTGCTTTCTGTGTTTAATATTAGACTTTGACTACAGCTGCTTTGTCAGGGCTTGCTGTAAGATGCCAGAGACCCAAGATTGTCTCTGTTAATAAAAGCTTACTTTTTCATCTGTCTTTGCACTGTGGCAGCAGCAAAGGGCCTATGCCTGGAGGTTCATTTGCTATATGGAAAAACCTCACAACTTTTACTGAGTAGAAAGTTTACAAGTCAGGCAGAAAGAAAGCAGACTGAAAGTGAGGGAATATGAATGTGGACGAGTTCAAGTTCGAGTCATGAGATGCAAAAGCAAAGCATTCTCAGCTTCAAGCTGTTTTTGTATTGGAAGACAATGTTTAATTAAATTATACAAAATTAATGCTCAAATCTGAAGAAATTTGTTACCCTCCTCACCGACTCACTCCTCTGTGATGGGATAAGTGACATTTTCCCCAGTGAGACTAGACGTATCATCCCTGCTTTGACCTTCCCCTTCCAGATTTCCCTTCTCAGACCTCTCAGACTTAGTTGGGGTTTGTTTCTTTTTTTTTTTGTTTAGCACTCCAAGGGCTATATCACTCTCCCTTTACCTAAATTTCTGTTTTTCAGGAGCATCATAAAATAAGTTAGAGAAGTACAGTAAAATAAGAAGTGCTAACATTGGCCTTTGCCCTATATGTGTCCCAATTTTGCTTGCTGCCACACATACTGCCCACCTCTCAGGATCCATCTCTTCCTCCCCTGTGGCTGCTATGACTCTTTTGGCCATCCTGTTTCTGTGGCAGCATGATAGATGGCTTCATGACATGAGCTTCAGCATGACATTGACAGGAATCTGGGTCTGTCTGAAGTCTTTCTGAAGAAAGACTTTGTATCAAAGCTTCTGCAACTGGGCTCATTGTCAAAATATCTCTGCTGCGAGCATGCAGAGAAATAAAATACAGCACAGCTAACCCGAAGGAAGCAATGATGCACAGCTGTTTTATTGCCTGGTACAGGTAAGACATTTTTAGGGAATATATTCTGCCTTTTAATGAGCCCACAGCAGAAGGTCCTGGATTTATCTCAGCTGCCAGGATCCTCTCCCTCTCACTTATTCTCTTTCTCCATTTCCTTCTCTGTTTCTAGGCTGTGTCTGTTTAAAGTGTTTCAGCCCCTTTCTTCAGTTCCTAAGCAGTCTTTACAGATGCCTGTGTTCTCCCCAAGAATTCCTTAATTTGCCATCTCTGCTTCCTCTTATGGCTATGGGAAAGTTGTGCTGTATTCTCATCTTCTTTTGTACCTAAGGTGAGGAGAGGGAGGCATTTCCCAGTGGAATAAATATTGCCATGATAGGTTGGCGCAAGGATTGGCTTCCTATGGGGTGGTAAGTGATTTCAAGAATACCTTGTATTTAAGCACAGGAGTGCACAGAGCTGAAAGGAAAGCCTGTACCACGAAACACACAGCTCTTCCAAGGACTCATTTCTGTGGTTGTATTTTAAGCCCGTGCTACAGATTAGTTTTATGATATTTGCTTGTTTGTGTTTTCTCCTCTGTGTTCACATCTATTATCTCCACAGCCACTAATTCTTGATATAAATGATGCTAAGCAGTAAAGTATGGTCCATTAACTTGATTTTAAAAAGTATCTAAAATTTACGCAGTGATTTAAATAATAATATAAATTATAGTAAGTATGTGCAGCAGCAGAGGGTATGGACTCCTAAACAGAATGAATTTCTCCTTGGAGAGCACTGATTAGTTCATTTTTCCTAATGAATCTTTCGTTATAGTCAGAAGTTTCTTTTTTTCCCCCTCACTGTCTCACTTATGAAGCATGCATGTATATATGTATGTTCCATTTATGTATTTGTTAGCTAGATTAAGTAATTTCCTACTTCATGTCCAGAAAGGGCACAACACTTCTCAAGGAGGCAGCTGCATTTCTTAGGAGAGGAAACTGAGGCCAAAACAGCCCATTCATGGGTCCTCCACCTATTCAGTCTATGGGCCAGACACCTCCAAGTGTAATCCATTGGAAAAATATAGTCTGCAGAAAAATGGATGAATACTACTGCTTCTCTCAGTGAAAATTATTGTTGTGGCCAATTAGAAAGTCTTACCTGTTAAGAATGATGTAGCTATTATTGCTTCCACTCTGTCAAAAATTGCAGCAGATGGTTTTGCAGTGCCTTCTCCAGGGTCTAGCAGTGCCCCTCTGCTTCAGCTTTCCCCTCAGTCCATGTATTCACACTGTACTTCCCCAGGGCAGAGTGAAGGAGACGTCCCCCCCATTCCCTCGCATGTGCTTTATGTGCTCCTAGAAGACAGGCTGCCATCTGGCCTAATGAGCTTCGAAACAAACTGCCTTTAAGACAACTTTCCTTTACCTGCAGTGATGCTTCTTTGGTGGTTGTTTACCAGCACCCTGGTCATTTAAGCTGTAGTTTAAGATGCATCACAGTTGTTGTTTTTTTCCCCTAGAAATATCAATGTAGGTAGTGCTTTCCAATAAGTGGACATTAATTCATGCTAAATTACAGTGGGATTCCCAAGAAATTACATATTACATCCACATGAATACTGAAAGAAATCATTATGATTAATGGTATAATTTATATGTGCATGTTGATGAAAGAATCATAATCTACAGTAAATTAGTAGAGATTTATGTACTAATAATTTTGTTGTGCTCTAAGGTCCACACAAAAACCAACTAAGTGATGTTGTATTGACAGCCAGTTCATATTAGCATATCTTAAAGGGATAGTATAACAGTATCAAATAAACAACTTCTAATGCATATTAACGTCATTTCACCTTTTTTTCCTCCAGAATCCATATCTATGCCATTGCTAGGAACAAGGCTTCATCCCTTTCATCTTCACATATGCGCCAAAGAGTAAACGTGGATGAGAGAAATGAAAATATTTAAACGTAAAATAACTGACTTCTAAGAAAGGAAAATAAATGAACTGACCTGCTCCATCGATGCGCTTCTGAGTGCATGAAGGCCATGTGATTGCAGCCAGGGCAGAGGAATTTCATGCCTTTCAAGACAGCTGGTGCAGCTCTCCCTAAAGCCCAGGGTGCCCCAGGTCACTGCTTGGGATAGCCGTGACAGCACCCAATGCACACCCTGGCCACCCACAGTGCAGCGCACTGCTGCTCTGCACCCAAGTAGCTATCATATATGCACAATGCATTATTATCTTAAATGCAGTCATTATTGCTTACTGCAGATACTGTGGTGCTTGGGGAACACAGAATTCATGTACTGAATTCATGTTTTATTTTCCATATAGGAAAGCACAAGCAGAAGCACCTTTCCTACTGGCAATGTTTTTGAAGTGCTTATGGCTGAGTGTATTTGGGCCTTTTCAAAACAGTTTGTGTTTCAGAGACCATGTACCAGTATCACACAGTCACCTTGTGGGGTTTGAAATGCCAGCTGATGGTAAACATGTGAAGTGCATTACTTAATATTCTAAAGAGATGGTTGTGACCTGTTTTATATTAATCACTGAAGCAAATGTTTATAAAATGCATCTCTGTATAATCACTAACTGATCTTACCTCTGAAATTCTTATGGGAAATAGTGGAAGGTAGTTTAAATTATCTATTAAAATTTATTTTTAACAACAAGGATGCATCGCTGACCTAGCAAAATTTGCAGTATGTTTTCCTATGTTCTTAGTACATCACCCTTTCCAAACATTTTTTAAAGAAATAGCACAATCTAATCAAAATAGTCTTATGTTTTTGTAATAAGCTGCTTTATCAATCTATAGCAACTCAGACAGGACTCTTCCCCAAGGAGTTTAGAGCCTAAAATGTTCGCAATTTCTAAGAAAACATCCCCTGAGCTATGTGTGCGAGACTATAATGATGTGAGCCGACAGCAGCACTGCTACTGTACATTAGTAAAGATCCAGAATGCTTTCACCTTTTAAGTTAGATATTTTCACTTTTTGCTGCTGGGGACACACTTTTTTTTGTAGCACAAAACTGAATATTAGAGGCAGTTTTAAAAATTTTATACAAACTTGGATGTATTTGCTTGTAACAAAGCCTGTTGGAGGACTAACTCTTTTCTACAGGGAACCCAATGTCAACTTTTGCCAAGGAGAAATCAGTAATAAAAACATATCTAATGACAACTCAGCCTGTATGCATTTTACCTAGCTACTACTTAAGGAACCTGTAGCCTACACTGTATGTTATGCAGAATACCTAATTTTCAAAATCCTCACTTAAAACTTAATTCAAGGGAAAGACCTCTTGATCTTACAAAAGGTATTATTGCTGGAGACTAAACTGCTTGATGTTATGTATTGTTCTAGCTGTAGTCAAGAGGGAATATTAATTGAGATGTTCCATTGATTACAGTGTGTATTCCACAGTGGTTCACATGTTTCCTGGTGGTCTTTCCAACAGGAATAGCACAAATGAGGGGAATAAGATGGATCATTTTGAACCTTAGTTGTTAAGCCATTGTTCTATTGTGCACAAAAGGTAATGCTTGGTTGATTTGCTTTATTTCTGAGCTGTTCTGATTTTTTCCCTGTGCACCTAATCTCTGGCACTTCCTCTGTGAGTCATCAGCAGCTGGACCCAGTGAAACCACAGGAACTAGCTCCTGGTAAAGAGCTCTAATAGTGCTATTACTCAAGTTCAATTCTCTTTAAGCCTAGTAAAGAAGCATCATGAGTCATATGGTACAGACAAGAGTTCTTTTGCATTTGCTTCTTTAGGAAAATCAAAACCCATGCTTCGCTTTCTCAGAGTGATTACAATGGGTGTCTCCTATACCTATCTCAGTCTGCCTTTCCTTTGCAGCAAGGCTGAAATGTCATTTTCCTTTCAATTCATCATTATTTTTCTTACCTTTTCCAGTTGTACTGCCTATAATTTAAAGCAAGTTCTTACAAATAAAACAAAACAAAATTTCACAACTATTTAGCTCTCTTCTTTCTGCTCGTTTTCATTGCACAGAAGTGCAATGTGATTCACACCTCCGATTCAGCTGATTTGATTAGTTGTTGCTGCCATACACCTGCTGCTGTCACGGCAGTAGTCTGTATTTGTGGCACATTCCTGCTGTCTGACAGAACAGGTGGATATTGTGTAGTAGATTGAAAAGAATGGTTTGAATGGTAATTGTTCTGCATCCCTGCTTACACAAACCCAGCAAAAGTTGCGTCTGTAAAATGAGTCTTATGATTTGCCTTCAGTAAACAGGATGGTCAGGTGTCTTATTTTAAACTAAAGCCAAATTTTTAACTGCAGAAGAGAATAACCTCATCAGATGAACTTTACAGTAAGATGGTTGGAAATTTTTCATAACCTTTGTTCATTTCTGATTCTCAGGCATTTCTGTACAAGACAATTTGAAGACTTTGGAGAGTTCTGGGGGATATCTTTAACTCCTGGTAGGAGTTCCTTTCCTCTCCTTCAATTAAAACGAGTCATTCTTAACATTTAAAAATGGTCCTTATTAAAAGAACGTCTCATAGTTATTATCCTCTCAGACTAGCATTTTGCCTTCTGATGAAGTCTTGCATGCTGGTTGTAGGAGCTTTATTAAATTGTAATGCAGTGCTGCTCAGGGACTGATAGTTTCTGACAGTCTGTAACACTGGGCAGCAGAAAAAGGAACAGTTTATTGTTCAGCTTATTGAACGGAAAGAACTACATGGCAGTTGACAAAGATCCTCTTGCAAAGCGGAGGGGTACATCTGACCATAGAGGTCTTTGAATTATCTTTAAAACATGAAATGGGGGGACCCTGAAATCCCACATGCTTCCTGAGTCAGAAGTATTTCAGCAAAAACCTGAGGAATAGTACAAGTAGCATTTAATTGTTAGAAAGAACTGGAGAAACTAAATACAGAAAATGTGAAACCTCCTAAAAAGAGGTAAAGTGAAACTAGTCTCTAAATCAGACCCTTTATTTATTTGCACAGTTGTATTTAAATGGATTAAGAGCTCCAATACAGTCATTCCCAAATTGCAATCCACATACCACAAGTTGTACGCAAATGTCTGTGCTGTGACATGTGAGCCTGTGCAGGCTGAAGCTGCTGTCACCACTGCTGCGGATGGCAATACTTGGCAAGACAAAGACTGAAAATTAGTCCTAAGAGATAGATGAACAGTTTTCCCTTTCATATAAGATATTAATTTTTAGGGAAGTAGTGTGTCTCATCTAAAGTTCATACATTATTCCTCCAGTTTGAGCAAAACTAAGTGTTTTGATGTTCTCATACAATAAATGCAATCTAAATACCTATTTACCAGTAGTGCCAAGATTTAAATTGATTACTTCTGCCTAAACAAAGATAGCACTATTTCTCTTCATGTATTTCTTCAGCTAGCTATTAAATTTGTGGCAGATTGCAAATCATGGTTCTGTAGAAGACAAATGCAACAAATATTTGAAGCCAATATTGCACACATTTTTAATGTACACTTTTTCAAATATACATATATGTATCTGGAAGAACTTTTTTTTTAAAGCAGGGAAAAAGCATAAGGAGGTGAAATTTTTGGCAGACTGTAATTCTACATTTGGAATGTAGAACCTTCCTATAAAAGGTTTTATGACATATATTTCAAATTAGTATTTCATTCAAATTAATATTTCATGTGCAGTGTTTAGAATTATTATTTTGATATTTTTGTTCAAGTTTTGCCTTTTATCTATACAGCACACATTAGTGTTTTAAAACTGTGCTACTGATAATTTTTCAATTTTCAGGTACATAAGGGGATAGGAAAGGTAACCAAAGAGTTTTGATTTTCATCCAGTTCTGACAGAGGTATTTGATGTACAGTAGAAGTTGGTTTCATATTCTTAAAAATGTTGTAAACAATTTGCAGCTGCTTGATTTTTGATGCCATCATAAATATTCATGTTAATTTTCCAAGATCTACAAATATAAGGTGACCTTAGACAAAAAATCAGGCTTTGGGTAGTACAGAGTGTTAAGCCATTGCTTTTTCACCTTTCTAAGAATACAGAGACAGCTGAAAAGTCTGTGCTCAACATCACATGCAGGGCTTCTGGCAAATGTTTTCCCATGTATTTTAAACAGAACCGATGAAAAGCCATTGCATTAAAGCTGCGCTAGCAGAGAGTCTGATAACGCAGTTTGGCATAGATATAGCAGCCCTGTAAGAAGTCACTGGGTTTGTAATCAGTAGCTCTGAACATGACTTTTAATCATGCAGTACACATTTGCCACTGTGTAGTAGCACAGTTTTTTCTGGACATAGGAAAGGGAATGTCAGCTTGAAAATGGATGAAAGAATAATAGAAAAAAAAAAAAAAAGAAAAGCAAAACTAGCAATGCTAATTATTCTGTTTCCATACCTGCTAATTGTTCTAAAGCATACCACCAATGACACTAAAGCATACCAAAGATATATTATGTTGTGTGATATTTTATTACTTGATAGGATACTGCATTATTATAACCACATGAAACAAACAGGTACATTTTGCTGACCTTTAAGTAAAGTTCTCTTTTTTTGTTTTTCCCCCTGAGATTTTCTCCTTCAGTATTTCCACACACTATCTGTAACAGGTATGTTTGTGTTTCAGGTGAAATTTTTATGGTTTTAGGACTAATAATATAGTGTATATGGAGACAGCAATTGCATCAGCGCCACAAGCCAGTCAGATAATCCAAGAATGGGAAGGTAAGGGGTCCTGACTAATATGAGAAGATGTGAGAAAAGATCTGAGAAGGTGAAGTAATTCTGCTCAGGAAGATGTAGGACTTTTATGGGGTTGAACTTCAGTGGCATGAATTGCTTAAAGTGATGCTGAATTATACCTGCTTGCCTTAAACATTTGGGTCATCTCATATGTAATTTAAGCATGGCCTGTGTTGACCCAAATTTCTAATGGTACAGCTCAGCAAGTAATGACCAAAATGACACATGAGTGATAAAAACAGGATTTATCCAAAAATTCATAGAACGCATTTTCTGCTATAGCACTACATCCACAACACACCATTTTCCTGTGGTATTCACAAGGTTTAAATAAATTACAGGTAATATTTTCATAACTACACATAGGATTTAGAAATCCATGCCCCATTTTTTAAATTGAAGGAAAATGTTTAAAGCAGTTTCAAAGGGATTGAGGTGATGAAACACTATAAAAAAATCCTCCTAGGTTCCTCTTACATTCAGTATCTGACCATAGATGCTTAGATGTCCCTTTGAAGGTCAGTATCCACAGTTCTGAAGAGCATCCAAGCTGTTTTCAGAACTGTGAATTAGACCCCTAAATAACATAAGTGCTTTTGAAAATGAGATCTAGCGAAATCCTGTACACATGTTGGTTTTAGTAAGGGTATCTGAAAGACTTACCTGTAAGTTTTAACAGCTTTAGGAGCCCTTGACAAACCGTCATATTCTTCATGTATCAACATCAGAATATAAACTGAGTCCTATAAACAGAAAGAACAATATAAGCTTGTATTTTAATATTTATTCCCAAATTAGTATGCAGCCTGAACAAAAAGGCAAGAGAAATTCACATAACTTCAAACTAAATTCCACATACTCAGCAATGTCACTGTGGTCTGGCTGGCTTGAAACTGAGCAGCCTAGTGAAAATTGCACCACCACCCAACCCCACAGACCTCATCACTACCTCTTCTTTGAGGTTTTAGAAAACATACATTGACACTAATGCCAAGTACTTCCAAAACCTTTACTCCAAGTAAGCAGATGAAGAATAATCTACTAAGAAGAACTGAAGAAAGGTTAAATTTTGGTGTATTTCTGTATTTTCTTCTGATGTGAAGTCTGAAGACAGTGATATATGCATTATACATCTGATTATTAATCTTTATAGGATACAATACTCCAGTATAAAAAGTCAAAATTTCATTTTTCTACCTGTAGCTTTAATACAATTTTTCTTATGCCTATAAAGCCTAGAGAATGACTGCAGTAAATTAAGAAAACAAATTTGACAACTAGGTAAGCATTTTGCAGGTCAGTTTTTGAACTGTGGATATGGGAATTCTTCATGACAGTGAACAGTATCTAGACGACAGAAAGATCTCAAGAAAGTATTTGTTGTTGGTATGCAAGTAAGGGAGCACCTATGCCTGACTATCTGTGACTATCTTATGTAGTGCTGAGGATGCTCTAGATAGATGTACATATTATTTGTAAATGCTTTCTTTACCTTAGGTAGGCAATATGAAATGCTTGGGTAGATACGCAGTTAATATGAAACCATGTCTGTGTACTTTATGATTCTTTCCAGTTAAAACACCTAACCCAGACTTTTGTGAAAACTACTTTTGCAGATGGAAAAAATGCACAGAGAATGATTTTATTTTAAAATTAAAAAAAAACCCCACAACAAACAGCAGCACCACAACATTTCCAGGTCTGACTCTCAGCAAGTCACATCCTTTTTACATTTCACAGACATGACATGTCATTAGAAAATGGTGCTACTCTTGGTTACACTGGCATGTCATATTACAGTACATTAGAAAATATGATGTGCTGACATAACCATGCATGACCATTTTCCAAATGACACGTTAAATCCTTGTAGTTCATTCAGAAAGAGGCACATTTGGTTCTCAATACACATATTCTGCATATATTGTAATCTACACATGTGAAATGTAAAAGATTGGAAAAAGCACAAAGGAAATAGTGCAATCATGAAGTTAAATCACCCTTTATTCAGTGTTCATCCAAAGTCACATCTCAGTCTCCCCTTACATTGCACATGCAGAGTGTTCAGCACAATTCCCGATCATTTATGCAAAACAAACCTCAAAAAATACAAATAATTATCTTTGAATACTAGAAGAAAACAGGATCACTTTTTATTACCTCCATAGCTGTTACAGTTGATCTTTATATTTTATTCTTTTTTAGCTTTCGGTGAGTAACATCTGGGACTCATCACGCTGTCCGGCATTTCAACAAAGATGATGTCACTGGTGCCAAATACTCTGACAAACATGTCTACTGCATAAATCTAAAGAACTGCAACACCAGACAAATTATGTTTACGATTAGAGACAAAATGAATCATTTGTACTGTGAGTTTAAGTACGCTAAACACAGACTTTCTTTCCAGAGGGAAGACATTGACTGGAAACTGTAAAAGCAAGCAGTTTTTATTTATTTTTTTTTTCTCTGAGAGTTTGGAGGAGCTTTTGATCTTCCAGTGTCCATTACAACCTTGGGGAAGGTTAAGTTAACCCTTTGAACAAACATTCCTAGCAGCATCCAATTCACTTGAACAAAGTAACTTAATTACCAGCTAAATTGAATTCAAACTGCTCTAGAGAACATGAACTGACATAACTTAGCTCTGATGAGAAGGAAATGAAAAAGAGTGAATTTGTTTCTGACATGTGCTGAGGGGCCCAAACTCTCAATTTCAATTTTGGAGGCACCAGGCAGTGTGATTTTGTTGCACAGAAGTGTTGGTGCGCAGTTGGCCAAGATGCAAGTTGTGTGCCAGGGGTGCAGAGACCCACGACACTGACTCCTCTTGCAATGCTGCTCAGAGGGCAGCATGGGGCAAGACAGCAAGAGGGCAACTCTGTGCAAGTCTGAATTTTCCCACTTGGCTAAGGGAGCCGAGCCTGCAACTGCGGAAAGCACTTCAGGTACCATCTCTTCTCCAGCCATGCACTGGAGGAGGAATTTCTTTCTTACCCTTTTCTTCCTGTGCACCCATCCATAACCTAGAAGACCTTTTCAAGGATTGTTTTGTTAAAGATACAATTCAAAAGGGAATTATGCAATTCAGTATTGACCACTCCCACCAAGAATTCATAAAAGCAGCATGACTTTTCCAGTCTGACAGGCAGGACACTTCAAGGACACAGGTTTATCAAGCAGAATAGCACTACAAGCTTTGCATTTCTCTGCTGCTAGTGTGTACCTACTATTACAGGAATTGTGATCAGTGGTTTCTCCAATAAGAGTATAAACGAAAAAGGATGATTAAAGGAGGCACAGAAGCACCAGTTCTTGCTATCAGGCCTAAGCCTGGAACTGCAGCAATTTCAAGGGGCAATAATTGCACAGGGAATTTCTGTGACATAGACACTAATTCACGTTACAGTCAGCTTAAAATGTAACCACCAAACAATTGTAAGCAATATAGGATGTACTCACCAAGATATGCCTGCTGCTTAAAAAGATAATGATCTTCGCTAAGACTCTTCAATTTCTATTTAGAAAGTAAAATATTCAAGAGAAAGATGTATTTCAACTAGCACACAAAAGTGAAATTCTAGATTACATTAAAATGGCAAATAAGCAAATAAATCACAACACTGACAAGGTGTCAGATAAAGATCTGAGTCCTTTAATCACACTGTTAATAAAGTTTGAATAAAATTAAGTCACCCATCATTTATAATACCAGAGTACAAGTTCAAATATTAAGTTAAAATATGATTAACTCAGCTTTCAGCTGGCTCCAGAAGTGTTCATCTGCACTTGATATTGTGAATACTTTCACACCAGCAACTATTACTTACAGCCCTCGGGTATAACATCTTGCACCCAGAAGTAGCAGGAACACATTGGTATTTTTTCCCACATACACGAATATTAGCCTTGATACAACTACAATATCTCTTTATGCTCAGCTGTGCCAATATTTCCCTTTTGCTTTCTACCACATGCCCTATTGTAAAATCTCTCTGGTAAAACTAAAAGGACAGGGAGTTTTATAAAACAGGATAATCCTACTGAACATGCAATCAGTTAACTGAAACAGGGAGATGGATATTTTCTGAAACTCCTTACAGGCTCTAGACAAACACAATGAGATAACAATGGCAAATTGTTTGGCTTACTAATTGTAACCAAATGTATGCCATTCTATCAAAACATTCTCAGGAGGATGTCAAAGACTCTTTTTTAAGTAAACATCTTGTGTCATCCTTTGGCTGAAGTGGAACAAGGGTCTCCAATAAAAACAGTACATATCAAGGACCCTTAAAGAGGTTTTTATATATATATATATATATATATATATATATATATATATATATATATTACTGATCTTTGAAAATGCAGCTTGAGAGGTACATTAATAATTTCACCCAGCTGGGCAATAAACAGTCCTGCCAAAAGAATTATGTAAAATTACATAAATCCTTTTAAAGGGAATATGTTTTAAGGAGACAAAGTATAGACTGAGCTACTTCACATTTTTTTTTTTTCTTTTTCTTTTCACAGCTGTGTTCTACGGAAAGCATTTTAGTGTGTAAAATCTCTCTCCTTGTAAAGTACTCCAAAGAGAAGCCAAAATTCAAACCTGACTGTAATGCATAATACCAAAGTGGCATATGGTGCAAACTACAGAAAAGTTGAGCACTGAGAAATAAACAAACCTCAACCAAATAAAAAAAGCTTTTCATGTTTGAAGCAATTGATAAAATAACAATGAATGGCTAAAGGCAAATATTTTTTTCATCAAGGCATAACTTAACCTTTAAATACAATACATATCCAAGGAGAACTACCAAATACTTAAAGTATTTGATCATACTTAACATGTGGATTGCTAAAAAAGGAAAAAGAGTTAAAACTTCACATTTTTAAAAAGAACCCATACATTATAGCAGTGGATCCAATCTTGTAATTTACATTAGCAAAGTGCTTAAGCATGTTGCTATCCAAACTTCACAGGAGAGCACAGTGCTTAAACAGGACAGCTAAAATTAAAAAAAAAAAAAAATTAAGGATAAATCCAAGTATTTTGGTGTCCTCAAGATAAGAAGGATATAGAGTTGTTGGAGCAAGTCTAGAGGAGGGCCACAAGGATGATAAGGGGGCTGGAGCACATCCCTTATGAAGACAGGCTGAGAAAGTTGGGGCTGTTCAGCCTGGAGAAGAAAAGGCTGCGTGGAGACCTCATAGCAGCCTTCCAGTATCTGAAGGGGGCCTACAAGGATGCTGGAAAGGGACTCTTCATCAAGGACTGTAACAACAGGACAAGGGGTAATGAGTTTAAACTTAAATAAGGAAAGTTCAGGTTAGATATAAGGAAGAAGTTCTTTACTGTAAAGGTGGTGAGGCACTTGAACAGGTTGCCCAAAGAAGTGGTAAATGCTCCATTCCTGGCAGTGTTCAAGGCCAGGTTACACAGAGCCTTGGGCAACATGGTCTAGTTAGCATTCCTGCCCATGGCACCGGGGTTGGAACTAGGTGATCTTAAGGTCCTTTCCAACCCTAACCATTCTATGACCCTATTATTTTGCCAGATTTGTCCTCAATAATAAATATATAAGTCCTTTAAGTTTGCTTACGATGCTCAAAGATGTTAATTTCATTCACACAAATAGTAAATTTTGCATTAATTTCAGTCACACAGAAGAAATATGTGAATTGAAAAGCATATGCTGCCATAGGGATTACTAGTTACCAACTCATTTCCCATAGTTCTCTATCAGCTCTGATATCTGAGAGCCAAGGCTGCAGAAAATGCTTCTAAAACTATTGCGAAAACTGAGCTATGAGAGACTGAGACTGTGACTGGCTGGATTAGCAGCCTCAGGATGTCAGGGATACCATATTTGCTTTCTATTTCATTTTCTGTCTTCATTATAGGCAGTGAAGAGACTGTAAACTGAGAAGTACAGAAGCATGAAAAGAAATAGAAAACTTTCTTCTAGTCCTTTTATCCTTTAGAAATCTAACTATCTGCAGAAAACAGAAGAAAAATCAAAGCACAGCATAAAAGTTTTAGCATAAGAACAACCAGACTGGAGGAGACCAAAGGCCTCAAGCAGAGTTCTGCCTCCAGCAGTGGCCAGTGGCAGAAGCATGGGGATGAGGAGACCAACCAGGTTTGGACATCCCTCTGCTTGGCTGTACCTCTCCACCTGGTTGGCAGCATGCTTGGGACTTCCTGCAGTGGAAGCTTGCTGTAAACCAGAATATCTGGTAGCTTTCTCATGGACCTCTCTTTACGGTCACTAGCCTGTTACTATTGTCAAAGGATAGCATGGGACAAACCAGAGATAATTATCAATGAATAAAGCGTAGGAGGCAACTCTCTACAAAAGCAGTCATTGTACTGTGCTGGTTCAAGGACCAAACCAGGGGAGGCAGATTCTTAATCCGCATAAGGAATTGCAAAGCCCCATGCAATTGTTTGGTCACTGAAGGCTGACCTATAGGCTACGTTAAGTTTAGTTAAGGGATACCAAAGCATAACTAGTTGTAATGCAGTTCAAATCATAATAATTTTAGTTGTGATTTTTTTTTACTTTTTTTTTTTTGTATTCAGAAGGCTAGTCAGTTGTTGATCTTGTGGAAGCATAGACAGATGCAATGGCTATAGCAAACTGAGTGGTATGTACAATGGGTAGTTCAAAACATGGCACTAAAACATACTGTTGAGGAATTAAACCACAGTTAAGGGCACAGCATTCTTAGATGAAAGATAACAAACAGCATTCTTTAATAATTTTAAAATGTCATTAAAGAAAATCAACAGCAAATGCAAGTCAGCCCTAGAGTTGCTTTAGACTCATTGGAGCTGTGGTATTAGTGTTTTGACCAAAACAATGGAATAATATGAAAAGGGTAGCTCAAATATCAGAGGGAAGAGAAAAAATTTTTTAAAACTTCTGCTAGCAGTATCCAGCAATAAGTGTAATAACTGACTGACTGAAATAGCCTTTTGTTTCCTCACAGATATTTTTTTCAAGCTCTGCTGTTTACTATTACTTCTTACAGGCTTGGTGTTTCCTTTCAGACTTTCCATCTAGATCAGAACTATAAAAGACTCATAGGTTCAGAGAGACTATACAAACACTGATTTAAGTTCCACTCTAAGTGATTTTACAACCTGAGACTTCACTATGCATTTCAGCTTTGTAACCAACAGCAAATGTCTAAGCAAAACTTTATCAGAAAACATAAAATTACTGAAGTTTCTGAAACAAAACAAAACATCCACCCAATCTTGTGAAATAACAGATTACTTCTGCTGTATTTAAAGAGTGAAGCAGAAGCATTTTTTTCCCACTATTTTTAGTGAATTTTTCTTGTCGACATGGCAAACCTGTTTATAAACATAAAATCAATGTACAGTTTTGTAGAAAATCAACCCCCTCTACTATGATATACAGCACTAGAGAGGTTAACCAGAATTGTCTACAGAAAACAAGTTTTTCAGAGCACACAGATGTATATACAGACATACACTCACACATTTCTATTCCCTAATGCCTTCAAACTTTATTATGTTGCAGTGGAATTACTGCAACAATTCTGCTATCAGACAGGACTTGATTACCAAGGAAGAGCAGAATTTATAGCCTCCTGATTTTATATTCCTACAATCTGAGCACATATGTCAACTTTAGCTTAAGAAAAGAATTACTGGTTACCATTACATTATTGTTTCTGTTAGCTAAGCTTAGCAGGACATAAGGGAGAAAGCATAGTAGAAAAAAAATCCACATGTATTTCAGCTAAAACGGGTATCATAATAATAAAATCCACGTAGTTTTGTATAACAGTTTATTTATTCTATTATTTTAAAGGAATCCAGAACATGTAAATGCACAAAAACATGCATGTATATACCCACATTATCAGTGAAACACAGGCATATTACAATTAGGACTTGCAGCTATTGAGAACCAATACCAAAAATACAAACTTTCAAAAGAGAATTAAGATTAGTTTGCACAGAAGCTGAAGTAAATACTTTATGCAAAGTTGTTCTGGGCTGCTCCATTACCAAGAGCATTCATGGACTTTGTCTCATACTCTATGGGAGCCGTATCAACTTTCCAACATTTCACAGGCTTCCACCAAGGCTTTGTGTTTCCCAGCTTTTCATAGCTGAAGTAAGGCATGATACAATGCAACAGCAAAAATATTACAGAAGCAGGTAACAATATTATCTAACCTGATATGGGAAGATGCTTCAGGGTAATCTTTCACCACAACATTTTACATAAAACTGTTCAAAACATTGTTTGGAAATTCGAGCATTTGGTGCCAGATTCAAGCTGCTCTTCGGACAATCAAAACCTTGGGAACTACCATGTGATAAAATGAAAACTTTTGCAAGGGGAGCTGGTTAGTTAAGAAGAAATGTATTTGCATTATATACGATAGAAATCTAACTGCCAATAAGAAAATCTACCTTTTCTAAGGTGGGAGTCTTCCCTGCCTCCACATTGCCATAATGACTGTATTAGAATTGTTCAGGTAGATAACAAGCAATTAGAAATTATTCATTAAGACAACTGACTTATAGTTAGTTCTTCTGTCTAAAATTAATTCAATGAATCCTTACTACATATATTATTCCACTGCTTTCACTGCAATTAATCAGAGTCAGTTATTGGCCAGTGTGACTGAAAATGGCATAATCAAGCCCAATGCAGCATACAGGAGATAGGCAGATTTTTAACAGCTGCCCCTAGCATACTCTTGTCCTCTTCAGCAAAGTTTAGCAGCAATCTTTCAGTGTATTCTTTGAGATATTTTATATGAATGAGGTATAGAATTTTCTGGCTCACAGTCTGGAATCTCCTCCACTGTATCTTGGAAGGAATTAACACAATGATCAATGAATGCTTTCCAGTTTATGTTGCTGAAACAGCCTGGTAAAATGAACCAGTCTGTAGGTTCATTTTTTGTTTTATCTGCATGACAAAGTATATTCTGACTTCAGCGTTTCAGACTATGCTTGCAAAGTATAAAGCTCAAGATATAGACATTATTTTCTGCCTTTTCTGTCCTCCCCTCCTCTGCTTCCTCTGCTATATTTTGTTGTTCTTCTCAAAAGATATTTTCTCCTTCAATTTGTTATTTTCTCTTGATGTGCAGTCTATTATTCAGCCTGAAGTTCAGAATATAGTCCTCTCTTCATACTGAAATTAAAATGCAATTGAATAAATTAAGCAAGAATGGAAATGCCTTAACAATGTCTTCAGATGTTTCTTTCTTTATTAAGTATAAAAAATATTAGTAAGAATTCTAGCCAGAAACTTTACACTCCTGTCACTGTGAACAACTTCATCCTCTTTCTCTGATTTGCTAGTATGTGTGTGAGCGACTGCTCCCTATTGTATTTTGGAACAGATGAAACATTTCAGTTACACTGTATGGTCGGATTGGAGTCACCTGCCAAGACACGAAGGAGTCCTTCAAACCTGTCTGCAAGGGAAAACTTGGGGGCAGATTTCCCAAGGAATGTAATGGGGTACCTGATGCAGTTCTAAGTAGCCACTCTCTCTTAATAAACCAGTTGCATATTACATATAGGATTCTGGATCTATTTTGCAGAGACTTCAGAAATGGCAAAAAGAAATGGTTTCAGCAGGAGATAATAGGCTTTATGACTTTTCCCAAATTATTCCCCATTTTAGTAGCCATCATCTTGTCGGTGACATCTGGAATGATTAGAGGATGATATTTTAGACTGACAACTGGGCTGTCATTCACACTGTCAGTCAGCAAACATCCAGGTTGCCCAGGGTTACAAAGCTAGTTTATGCCTTTATCCTGTAGTATATAGCATTGCTGATTCTTTACCTGGATTTCAGATGGAGCAGTTCTGACAGCTAGCACCAGAGGCAGGCAGAGAGCTCATGTTGATGGTGGGAGTCCTGTGGTGCTTTTGTGTGTGACAGTTTTAGTGCTTCTGTGGCAACCCATCGGGCAGGACATAACCCTGGAGTATTAGGTGGGTCTAGTAAGTTCATCTGCTTTCAAAAAACAGAAGGCAAATGTTTACCTACAGCTTTAGGAACACATCTAATTATTTTAGGCTTATGTACCTGAATGGGAGCCTTCTTACACAACCCAGGTGTCTGCAGAATTATTATCCCAAATACCCTCATCATTATCCTAGACCAGAAAAAAACCCACCCAAAGCAGCCTTGAGCTCCAAGGATGAGCAGTCCCTGTGTTTTTCCTCAGTATGCAAGAGCACCCTCACAAAACCATCAGCAAGAATAAATGTGCTTCACAGCAACAACTTCACATGGTTCAACCATTCTTTGATATGCAGTCTAAATTCCTTCTCACTCACTCACTCCTCACTCACTGCCTATGTGCACCCAAAGAACTCTGCTTTTAAATGTTTCAGTTTGAGAACCCAGATTTGGGCACCAGAAGTCTGATTTTCCAAAGGGAAAAATTAACCTGCAGTTCTCAGAAAACAAAAAGCAATGCTGTGAGTATGTACCAGCTGTGACACTTAAGACCTAGAACACAGTAATGAAGAAATGAAGAACCAAAGCACCAAAGACAATTTTGCTGCAGCTTCCCTTCATTTCTCTTTGCCTCAATGTATTCTTCTAACACAAAAATAACATTTCTTACAGCTATACTGAGCGAATGGGATACTCACAAAGCCTAATAATTTTAAGTAATAAATAGCTCATAAATTAAGGTTAGAAATCACTATACAGTTTGTTATCAGTGAGCAGCTAAGTAACTTGTTATTGCTTTGGCTCCAGACAGGTAACAGTACAAGCCATCCTAATGCACTGTGTTTCACAGACCAGTTTAAAACTCACACCATGTGTCTGTGCTTCTGCAAACAGCCTTACAGCCTTGTCCTCAGAAAATGTAAAATGAAACAGCTCAAAGCAAATTTGCTTAAAAATCCAATAAAAATGCCTTAAAACACCGGCAGAAGTTGCATAGCCTGAAGGCAAGGAACTCCTTTAGTAATGTTTCTAGCTAATGTTTCTGAAGCATGAGAAAAAGTAATAAAATTTCATAAACAAGTTGTATAAAAAGGACAACTATTTTTTGCCTGTTGTATGAATCTGAGACCGTAATGCCTCTATGCAGGGTTGTATTCTGCCTCCTGTGTACCTTGATCCTAGTACCAGAAGATGCTTACCAATTACAGCAGCAGAGAAGCTGAAACTGGAATGAAAGGGGCATGTAGATACATGCAGGCATGGTATTAAAACAAAAGGAGGAAAAAAGCATGTTTGAAGCATACTTGGGTAGCATTGTTCTGGAGCTCAAACCAACACCCTTCTAAAGGGCAAATAAATCACTATAATTTATTTATAATAACTTTCTAAATATCTTGCTCTAATTCTTTTCAAGTAGCATCTCACAAACCTGGTTGTTAAGTATAAATTAAAACTATTCAAGAGGTAATATTTATAAAGCACTTTTGCATCCACAGATGAATGCTGCTGTATATTATGAACATTGACATATTTGACAAGGCAACAGAGTTAAATGTGATACAGAGTCAGACTAAAGATTTTTTTCTTGTCTGAAAAGCCCTTGTTTTGTTACTAATATTAGAGCTACAGCAACCTATTTGACAAAAAGCACCTCCTAATTTGAGAGCTGTAGCTCTTAAGCTCCATAGTAGCAGCTATTTACCTGGTTGGCTCACTCTTCACAAAATGTGCCCATTAAGCTCAGGGTATAAAGCCAAAAAAAAAAGCCAACAGCCACTCTACTGATCATGACTGAACAAGTGACTGTGCTGGTATGTGCTTGATAAGAGACAGTAGAGGAAAAGGAGATAAACCTTGGGGTGTAAGACAGTAGTTTACATATTGCATTTAGAACAATAGGCAAAGCTATTATTGACTTCATCAGGAATAACTCATAGTAGCACAAATTCTCTGGTTGCAGGTGTTTGGAGGATTTTCCCTAAGGGAAGCTTTATGATATATATACATACATACATACACACACACCACCAGTTTATGTCAAGGGAATTTATGCATGCATTCTCAACTGAGAGTAAATTTTAGCCCTTTTCTTGTTCACTAACATTATACAAACATTTTCCCAGCTTGGCAGGGCTAAATTAAATTGGGCAACGTTCTGTGTGTGTTTGATGTCTGCTAAATGAAGTGAGCTTCCAATTCGTCATATTTACTCAAGCTCACTCAACTCTAGTAAAAATTAAAATGTTCCAGTTAATTTAACAAGATAATTTAGCGCTCTCAAATCTTTCTTGCTCAACATTTGTTGCTGTTTAGAAATTGGGGCTATGTGCTGCCATGTAATTCTTTGGACAGCTCTGAGGACTTAATAGTGAGCAATAGACATTTTAGACACTGGACTGACATTGTGTTTAATCTCAAGCAAGTCCCTGAGCTGCCACTGGAGAGAGGAAATCTAGGATCAGGCCCTTTGGATTCATTATTTAAAGAAAAGAGATCACACAAAAAGCCACAGAATATTTAGGAAAGAATCAGGGTGACTAAGGTAGTAGTTGGAAGATGAGAACTAAAACATTGCCACATTGAGTAACTTGGTTACAAATAGAAAGTAGGCAAAGGCACGAAGATCCAAAATAATAAAAGTATCCACACATGAAGCTCTTTCATGTTTGGTACTTGGAAATAACAACTCTATTTTATGGCAATACAGACAAGGAAACCAAAGCATCATGCAATTTTAGTGGTGCATATGTGATAAAGGCCACTAAAATGAATACTTAATGAAATGAACCAAGATTGAGAATTTAAGATTGGCCATACCTGTAACACTGAGATTTACTCATAGGAATATGTTATATTGTTTCTCTGTAAACTGCTTATTAAATGTTATTTGTAGGCTTAAGCACTAAAAGACAAAAAAGCAAAGTAGCCACCACATCCAGAAATCCCCTCATTACCAAAGGACAAGTCACTGTCTGAGGGATGGCAGCACTGAAACATCTGCTATATAATAGGTCCCCAAAGATCTAGTGTATCACATTGAAGACAATAGTGAAAATTCTCTTCTCCCATTTATTTGGTGCTACTCTAAGAATCGGGGTAGAACGAAGATTACTGGCTGGTTGTATTGAATCACAGTCAGATACTGGTGATCCCGTTCTACAAATCACATGAAACTCTACTAACATCTCAAAGGCCTTTGCAAGGATTTGTAGGGACTGAACGGATAGAGCAGTGGATTGTGCATAGCCTTTCTTCTCCCCAGAGGAGATAGGCTTTTTATAATCTGGATCACATCTCCCTTTGCAGAAGCTGGAAGACCAAAGATGCCACAGACACAAGAGTTTGGTGCATTTGCTACTGCTTACTGCTTTGGTGCACTTGGAATACTAGTCCTTCACAGAAGATATAGGAAACTAGAAAAGATCAGCCTCCTAATAGAGTTGGAGGTATTAAGCTAAGCAAAACTATTCTAAGTCTCACACACAGGTGCCTTCAAACACTCTTGTTTTCAGTCTTTCTGCAATTTCCTATGAGACTGTGGAAGACAGTCACATTTTAATAAGAATTCATTAAGCATCTTAGCAGCTTGGCAATATTCAGTATACCCTGAAGAACACGCAGACATGTGAACTGCAAAAAGCTAGCATACAAATGCAGAGCAATTTAAGCAAAATGGTGCTGGGGACTTGAGTAAAATAATAGCTATGTGCTACTTGCAGAATCAAAAGCAATGCAGATGCACCTGGTTTCATTACACAAACCTTGCATAGGTTTGTCAAAAGGTTTGCAGACCTGTCAAAAAAACTGAGAAGAGTTTAGGAGCTTAGGATTTTAAAATGAAACCATGAGCTGCTAAATACCTTCAAAAGCCAAGGATGGCTATGGTTCACCCTAGGAGAGATGTAAGCTAGATGAGTGAAGAGGTACCATGCTAATAAATGTATTTTACTGTGCAAATATATTTTCCAGTGTTTTGTGTTTTGATTTTGATTTTTTGTTGTTTTTTTTTTAATTTTTATTTTCCAGTGAACTTTAAAATGTTTTCACTTAAACATCCATTCAGAAAGACAGATGACATAAACATCAAGAATGGTAGTATTGAATTCCAGTGAAAAAACAGCAAATGTGATGCAAGAATATGATAGCAGAAATAAAAATATCATTAAATGACTTTATCAGTGATAAAGCCATTTAAAATAATCCAGCATTATTTCTTATCACTTCTGAGAAAATGGGATAATGCAGAGATAAATGGGGAGCTGATAAAAAAAAAGATAATTAAGGAAAGAATTGCCAAGAACCTAAAAAAACCCAACCCCAAACACCTCAAACCAAACCCCCTCACCTGAAGAGAAGTTGAAAGCAAAAGGTTATTTACATTAGAAAGGAGACATATAAGAAGGCCATGATCCATGTATGAAAACTGAATAGCTGGAAAAGATTTCCAAACTGAATAGCTGGAAAAGTTTCACCCAAGGAAAAGGGATTTACTGAAATGAAAAGCTGGCAAACACAACAGTGATAAAAAGAAACTTATTTTTGTTTCATATTTAAACTATAATAGACAGCTGAATACATTTTTTTTTTCAGTTTTCCACTGTAAAGTGTAATGTAGTGCTTCTGAAAATGGAAGCATCATAAATAAAGTATCTTTAACATATATATACCTATAAATATAAATCTAACAAACATTTTTTAGAGAAATATTTCATTTCATCTTTAATGTGTTGATTCAACTTCTTTTATTGTATCACATATTAGATAAAAAAAATAAACACTCAAATGCTTTCAAAGTATTTCAGTGATCAGGAATTAACATTTTGCACCAAGAAATAGCAACTGGGAATTCTTGAAAATTTTTTATTTTAATTTTTGTATTTCATTTCTTGCAGTTAGAAATTCTCATTTCCTGCAGCTCTGGAGCTCACCAACACTGATTTTTTGAGAGCAAGAATTTACCACAACTTCCTACGAAGAATATGCATAGTGACTAGAAAGAATGGGAATTAATATTTTG